GCAGTGTGTTGAAAAAAAGTGAATAAAGATCAAAATCCTTCTAATAGCTTTTATTTCCATCCACACAAATGCATTGGGAACACGACACATTCTATTCCAAATCAAAACATGAAGAAAAATAGATCAAATTTGTGTTGTTCCTCTCTAAAACAATTGAAGAAAAGTGAATATTAGACTGTTCAAAAAAATAGCAGTGTTTGTATTCTTCTTTACAAACTCAAACATTCACTATATAAACTGAAAAATGTTTAAAGATTTTGCTTTCCTTTGAATCACTTCATGAATATTTGGTTGTAGTCGCACTGTTTCTGAGAACTGCTGTACATCTGTGTTGCATGGAGTCACCCAACTTCTGGCCCCTGTGATCAGGTATTCCAGCCCAGGATGATTGGACTACATTCCACAGTTCTTCTCTATTTCTTGGTTTTGCCTCAGAAACTGCATTTTTTATGTCACCCCACAAGTTTTCTATTGGATTAAGATCCGGGGATTGGGCAGGCCACTCCGTAACGTCAATCTTGTTGGTCTGGAACCAAGATGTTGCACGTTTACTGGTGTGTTTGGGGTCGTTGTCTTGCTGGAACACCCATTTCAAGGGGATTTCCTCTTCAGCATAAGGCAGCATGACCTCTTCAAGTATTCTGATGTATTCAAACTGATCCATGATCCCTGGTATGCGATAAATAGGCCCAACACCGTAGTATGAGAAACATCCCCATATCATGATGCTTGCACCACCATGCTTCACTGTCTTCAGTGTACTGTGGCTTGAATTCAGTGTTTGGGGGTCGTCTGACAAACTGTCTCTGGCCACTAGACCCAAAAAGAACAATCTTACTTTCATCAGTCCACAAAATGTTGCGCCATTTCTCTTTAGGCCGGTCAATGTGCTCTTTGTCAAATTGTAACCTCTTCAGCACATGTCTTTTTTTCAACAGTGGGACTTTGCGGGGGCTTCTTGCAGATAGCTTGGCTTCACATAGGCGTCTTCTAATTGTAACAGTCCTCACAGGGAACTTTACATCTTCTTTCATCTTCCTGGAACTGATTGTTGGCTGCGTCCGCGCCATTTTGGCTATTCTTCTATCCATTTGAATGGTAGTTTTTCGCTTTCTTCCACGTCTTTCAGGTTTTGGTTGCCATTTTAAAGCATTTGCGATCGTTTTAGCTGAACAGCCTATCATTTTCTGCACTTTTTTATATGTTTTCCCTTCTCCAATCAACTTTTTAATCAAGGTACGCTGTTCTTCTGAACAATGTCTGGAACGACCCATTTTCCTCAGAATTTCAGAGAGAAATGCACTGTAACCAGCATGTACAACATTTGCTGCCTTCCTTCCTTAAATAAGGGCAATAATTGCCACCTGTTTTTCAAAGAATGAATGACCTCACTAATAGAACTCCACACTGCTATTATTTTGAACATGCCCCTTTCAATTAGTGATTCAATTACACAGAATCAGCAGCATGCATGTCATGACTGTTGGGTCTGTTGGATTTCTATTACTCTACTACACCTGCTAGTAAATTATTTGCCATGTAGAAATATCATTTCTACCAAAAACAGTGATTGATCAGGTTAGTGATGTCTGACTGCTATTATTTTGAACACAACTGTATGTGGTAAATAAACATATATATGGTTCAAAACAAAAGGTGGGTAACGTTCGAACCAGTTGTATCAAAATACACCTCCACTCAACATAGGAGTGGAAAAAGTGCATCCGGTGACCTGCAGATGAAATATTGATATAAGGAGGCAAAATTCAGCATCCAAGAGAGACATATGATCCTCATATATAGTTTGAAATGGCTTCTCACTTCTAGTGTAGTATATCAATTAAAACCAACCTCTGTTTTGATACATGTGCTGCTAGGGATAGAAAGGGCATATCTATGGCACAAGATGCTCCAAAAGCTATTGGCAACAACGAGAGGACAATATTCTTCTTAGTCTTTTTATCTCTAGGTTACTGGGAATATCAAACAGTCTAAGGCCTCACAGCTGTAGACCATACGGCAATTTCCTTTGGCATCTGGTTACTATGCACCCTTCCACAACTACTGATACCCAATACGATTTTCAGAATGCTACATGGTAAGAGCGGCAACTTTCCTCCAGGCTTACACTCCATGATTCTGCTGAGGACAGGAGAAATGCCAGTATTCTGAGACCCTGTGAGAGCCGTCTCAGTCCAAGCTACCTCTGGCACTTACAGTATATCACAAAAACACATACAGTCACTAGGGATCGGTTCATGGTCATTACTCACCCAGGGAGAGCTGCACACCTTCCAGCTTCCTCCAGACATAGTCCAGTGAGGGTGACAATCCTTCTCAAGAGTCGATCCCTATAGTAAAGTCCAACAGCCAGCTCTTTCAGGAGATCACTCCAGGCCCTCGGTGCTTACACCACTGAAGCCTCAAAAACAGCTACACAGTCCATTGGCTACCTCAGATTATTCATCACCCCCTAGCCACCTTCTGGACACTTATATCCAGGGATTGGCCAGGCTATGATAAATATTCAGGCTGGTCATTTGAATCTTCCTCCCTAAGATCTGGAAGGTTCTCCCAGTGGCAGGGGGACGCAATGAAACTGTCAGGTGTCTGTGATAGTGAGCACTTGTTAATTACCAACTCGGGGTTCCCCAGGGCTCGGAGTCTAATCTCAAGCCTGCTATTTTGCAAGGGGCCTCTGAGGGTAGGGATAGACTTGCAGAAAACTGGAACAGGTTGTGGCTCCCAGGTATGTCCAGTTGAGGATGCAGAGATCACTTGCATGTGCAGAGTAAAAATAGCAGGAAACAACAGGAAATCCAGGAAACAAGCTGAGGTCAGGACGGGAAGCAGGAAAGAACAGACAGTAGACTAAGCTGGGCTTGGTACATGGGAAATCAGACACTGAATACATGTAATAGTAGGCAAACTGCAGCTCAGAGAACTAAGAAGTTGCTCAGGCAATGCAGGCTTCACTGAGCATGTCTTATATAGGGAAGCAAACTGAGAGGCAGGCCAGAAAGTGAGGGCAGGGGAAGAAAATATAAACCCCAATAATAGCAGGCAATGCCCATAGGTACGCACAGAAGCCAAACAACCTGTAAAAGGAGATAGGGGTCTAGGAGAAGCACTGCAGCAAGGAGGTAAGAATTACACAGGCAAGAAAACTGCAGGCTAAATCGTGGCAGAAACCCTGAACAGACCAGAACCAACAATCATTGCTCCCTTGACTACAGAAGGAGCCAAAAACTAAATTTGCCTAACATCCTACGCTAGGAGGGTGCTATTGTACACATCCTGTTTGGTACCCATCGGAATGAATTTGTCAGGGCCTGGGATTGAACCTGGTCCTTCTGCAGTGGGAGGCAATGACTCCTCTCGCTGAGCTATCTAGAATGCTGGACAGCTCCCTTGACATAATCCTGCCTTGTGCCTTGATTTCTCTTGAATCTTGAACTCCTTGCTCCTCCCATGAACTTCCTTATAAAAGCCATGTCCATGCACTTCCTCCTTGCCAGATTATTGTGCCTTACCAGCCAATATCCCGCTTACTGTTCCTGCTGCTGTCTTATTCTACGTTACCGACCTTTGGCTTGCTACTGACTACGATTCTGCCTCATCCTATCTACTACCATTGGTGACCGACCCTTGGCTTGTGACTGACTCCGCTTCTGTTTGATCCCTACACTGTTTGATCTGCTATTGGCTCCCAGCTTGCTCATTCCCTGGTGGGGTGATCCTGAGATCTGCGACCTGGTATTAACACGCAGCCCAATCCATCTCCACCATTAGGAGCTCTGGTGAAAACCGGTTAATACTTAGACCCCGCACCTCAGGTGAGCCTGCATCATTCCCAGGGTGACCCGCTGGTGTACCAATCCTGCTGGTTTCAGGTAAGCCTTACAACTGCTGTAGCAACTGGTCTCTGAACCTGACCGCATATCGTGACAGAATGCCAATAGGCTGAGTGTTTGAGGGTGCCATTTAGAATGAATGGCACCACATTGCATCAAATGCATGTAAAGTGCATTGTGGTAAAGCTCGGGGAACCAGCTTACTTTCTAGTTCATGCTTAACCTCTTTTTCCAGAGGGCGGTAGACCATGAGCCCTGTATATAAAGCATCCAGCTCTAAATAGCACGTCCTAGATATCAGTTTATGTTTTTATAAATATGCAAAAAAACCTTGGTGAGAAGAGGGGAGATGTTTGTATAAAAGGGCACGTAATTCATGTGTGAGGAGCTTAGGGCAGCATGAATGCCAAACGCGGCCCCGGGTATTCTGCAACATGTTTTTGAGTATCAGATTTTGTTTGAACGTATGTTGCTTTTTAGAATTTCTATTAGGTATTATGTATTTATGTATTCTTTTTCAGTTTTATAATAAATTAAAATGCATGATCCGTGCTGCTTAATATTATTTTATTCTACTTGCTCATTATTCTAAATGACTAAAAGCTTGAATATTAAAGTGCTACATAATTCTTATAAGTATTATACAATGTATTTTTTTGTATTGTACTTATAAGCTCATAATTTATGATATATATTTTTAAAAGCATTCTTTACAGCATTTCTTCACATCTGCCTAAAACATTTGCACAATAGTATGTATAGTATATATTTTAATTGTTTATTTGTGTAAGAATTGAGTTTTCTTCTGTTCGCTCACTTTGTATTTTGTAAACTGATACAAAGTCAGGGATCTTGTAGGATAATGCCCCTTACACACGATAATAAAATCATATGAAAAATTTTGCGGAACCACTGATCGAACGATTTTCTCTTCGTTGATGAGCAGGATGTTTTAACCGATAACGATATTGTGAACAAAAAAATCCGGTTGAACAACAGTGAAAAATTTTGACGTTTCGCATACTAACAATCTATTTTCTATGCGGTGGTATGACGGTCGTATGAAAAAAATCTATCAAGCGATATCACGCATGAGTGGAAACAGAAGATGACTCTGATGTTTATGTCCAAGGAATCTTCGTAAACACGAATGAAAAATCCAGATGTTAAAAGTAGATTGGCCTAATGAGGTAATGAAACCAGAATGATGCATATTATATTTTATGTATCACTATTTTATGTATATAGGTCATGTAATAAACAATATTATATTCATTGCTGGTAATTGTTGTGTACAGGGGCGGACTGACCATTTGGAAACTTGGGCACTGCCCGAGGGTCCGGGGTCAGTAGGGGGCCCCATGAGATGCCCCTGGTACCTTTTTTTCATAGGCTTTTTTGAGTTTGGGCAAGGACACTGGGGCCCCATGATCCCCTATTGCCCAGGGGCCCCATGAGTTGTCAGCCCGCCCCTGGTTGTGTATATCGATTGTTCTGGCCAGAAGGGCGTGGAATGCTGGTTCTGGCTGGAAGGGCATGGAATGCTCATTCTGGGCGGAAGGGCGTGGTCACACACACACTGCATCACTTCCACTTGTATGGAAGACGTAAACACTACGTATTGCCCAATGAACAATTTTTTTAGATTGGTTAACCTCCCTGGCGGTATTCCCGAGTGTAGCTCGGGGTAAAATTTGAGTACCAAGAGCAGTAACCCCGAGCTACACTTGGGCTTACCATGCGGCGTTGCTCAGGGGGTCCCTGCAGCACTTACCTTTTCCTTCGCTCCCGCAATGTGTCCCCTGCAGCGTCCCCGGCCATCTCCTCCGGCCGATGCCGGCATCCGGCTTCCATGTTCCGCTCCCTGTGACGTCGGGCGTACAGGCGGGAAATTAGAAATTTTTAAAAATTTCATTTTTTGCTGTCATTGCTGTTTCAATGTATTTCACATACATTTTGTCCCGAGTGCTTTGTCCGGCGCCCTGCCTGCATTTTGACTGTTCTTTCTGCCTGGAAACTGAGAAACGTCCATTGCGTCCAAAAAGCGTCCCTTTACGTCAAAAGCGGTTTTAGACCGGCTAGAGAACAGCGATAGTAAATCAGAACCACTTGCAGAATTGAGTGATAATGATTCGTGGGGGAAATTCGTCATCAGACGCTGAAAAGGATTTTGCGACTTTGCTCAGCGATGTGCGAATTTGCCTCTGTATTTCAAATTTCAGTGTTTTTGGTTTGATTATATTATTGAATTAAATGTATTATTATATTATTATTTTTTATGATTATTTATTAAATTATAATTTATAATTTCGCGTTTCAAATTTCATCATATCCGGAATGTTTACTACACTCTTGTTCGGACAGATTTCACTGAGTTATTCCTAAAAATTACAGCCTACAATAAAAAACTCCATATTTCCATGCAAAAAAATGGTACCGCTTTCAGCACAAAAAATCGGAAAGAATCATACCGCCGAGGAGGTTAATGTGGGCCACGATTTCGAACAACGAACGCCTCTCGGTCGTCGGATGACCGATCGGTTGATTTTCTAATCGTGTATTCCCACCTTCAGGTGTATGATTATACCAGGCAGATGCTAATGATTATCAGTTTTATGTGTAGGTTGACACACAATTGTTAACTGAAACAGAAACAGCTGTGTAGGAGGCTTAAAACTGGGTAAGGAACAGACAAACTCTGCAACTAAGGTGAGGATGTGGAAGAGGTGAGGTTTCATGTCACATACATGTCATACACCATGGAAAGACTGAGCACAGCAATAAGACATCTACAAGGCAGTTATACTGCATCAGCAAGGTCTCTCCAAGGGAACGTAATGAAGCAGATGAAAGACACATCATGCTTATTTCCATTTGACATCTGAAGATGCCCAGCAGTGCCATCAGCCAGTCCTAGCGGAAACCAGTGGGACCCAGGCATACCCATCTACTATCTGGGGACGTCTGGCTAGAAGTGGTCTTCATGGAATAATTGCAGCCAAAAAAAACATACCTCTGATGTGGAAACAAGGCTAAGCTACACAAATATGCATGAAAACATAGGAATTGGGGTGCAGAAAAAAAAAAATTCAGTCAAAATCTGAAATACTTGGCTGTAGCAGAGGCAGTTTGTTCGCTAAAGGGCTGGAGAGCAGTACAATAATGATAGTCTGCAGGCAACAGTGAAGCATGGTGGAGGTTCCTTACAAGATTGGGGCTACATTTCTGCAAATGGAGTTGGAGATTTGGTCAGGATCAATGGTGTCCTCAATGCTGAAAAATACATGCAGACATTTATCCATCATGCTGTGCCATCAGGGAGGTGTATGATTGGCCCCAAATGTATTCTGCAGCAGAGCAACCACCCCACAAATACAGCCAGTGTCGTTAAGAACTATCTTCAGTGAAAGGAAGAACAAGGAGTCCTGGAAGTCATGGTTTGGCCCCCACAGAGCCCTGATCTCAACATCATGGAGTCTGTCTGGGATTACATGAAGAGACAGAAGGATCTAAAGTATACATCCATAGAAGAAATGTGCCTAGTTCTCCAAGATGTTTGGAACAACCTACCTGCTGTGTTCCTCCAGTAACTATATGTAAGTGTACATAGAAGAAATGATGCTGGTTTGTAGGCAAAGAGTGGTCACAATAAATATTGATTTGATTTGGATTTTTCTGCTCGATTACCATACTTTCCATTGTGTTAATTGATAAAAATAAACTATTAACACTTCTATTTCTGAAATTTTTCTTAATTTACAGTATTTTTTCACACCTGCCTAAAACTTTTGCACAGCAGTGGTGACTCTAGGGGGGTGTGGACCACACCCGGGTTACACCTGCCAGAGGGGCGACACCCAGGGCCGTCTGTCCAATCGCCTCTGCCACTTGCCTCTGCCACTTGCTGTAACTAACACAGCGGAGAGCAGGCGGCAGGACACTTCGCTGAAAAGAGGGCAGGAGCTGCAGGAGTTACCTTTCCAAGTTAACAGGCTGGTGATTGGTTTCTAGGTGGTCCTAGCATCCAATCACCAGCTTGTTAGAATGAAAACTTAACTCCAGCACCTTCTATTCAGCGCGCTGCTGTCTCCTGCTCTGCATGCCACGTACGATAGGAAGGGGCAGAGCTGCGGGGCTATGTAATGTGAAGGAGGGGGGATAGCTTGAAGGGGGCTGTGTAATGTAAAGGGGTCCACAGGTACAGAGGTTGTGTAATGTAAAGGGGTCCACAGGTGCAGGACATGTGTAATGTAAAGGGGTCCACAGGTGCAGGACATGTTTAATGTAAAGGGGTCCACGGGTACAAAGGTTGTGTAATGTAAAGGGGTCCACAGGTGCAGGACATGTGTAATGTAAAGGGGTCCACAGGTACAGGGGTTGTGTAATGTAAAGGGGTCCACAGGTGCAGCGGATGTGTAACGTAAAGGGGTCCACAGGTGCAGGGGTTGTGTAACGTAAAGGGGTCCACATGTGCAGGACATATGTAATGTAAAGGGGTCCACAGGGGTCCACATGTGCAGGACATGTGTAATGTAAAGGGGTCCACATGTGCAGGAAATGTGTAATGTAAAGGGGTCCACAGGTGCAGGGAATGGGTAATGTAAAGGGGTACACAGGTACAAGGGTTGTGTAATGTAAAGGGGTCCACAGGTGCACGGGATGTGTAATGTAAAGGGGTCCACAGGTGCAGGGGCTGTGTAATGTAAAGGGGTCCACAGGTGCAGGACATGTGTAATGTAAAGGGGTCCACAGGTGCAGGACATGTGTAACGTAAAGGGGTCCACATGTGCAGGACATGTGTAATGTAAAGGGGTCCACAGGTGCAGGGAATGTGTAATGTAAAGGGGTCCACATGTGCAGGACATGTGTAATGTAAAGGGGCCCACAGGTGCAGGACATGTGTAATGTAAAGGGGTCCACATGTGCAGGACATGTGTAATGTAAAGGGGTCCACAGGTGCAGGGAATGGGTAATGTAAAGGGGTCCACAGGTACAGGGGTTGTGTAATGTAAAGGGATCCACAGATGCAGGACATGTGTAATGTAAAGGGGCCCACAGGTGCAGGACATGTGCAATGTAAAGGGGTCTACATGTGCAGGACATGTGTAATGTAAAGGGGTCCACAGGTACAGGGGTTGTGTAATGTAAAGGGGTCCACAGGTACAGGGGTTGTGTAATGTAAAGGGGCCCACATGTACAGGACATGTGTAATGTAAAGGGGTCCACAGGTGCAGGGAATGGGTAATGTAAAGGGGTCCACATGTGCAGGACATGTGTAATTTAAAGGGGTCCACATGTGCAGGAGATAGGTAATGTAAAGGGTCCACAGGTACAGGGGTTGTGTAATGTAAAGGGGTCTACAGGTGCTGGACATGTGTAATGTAAAGGGGTCCACAGGTGCAGGGGATGTAGAATGTAAAGAACATGGGGACATTAAACTAACTGGAGGAAAGTTTAAAACTAATCTCAGAAAGTAATATTTGACTAAAAGTGTAGTTGATGTATAGAATAAACGTCCAGCAGAGGTAGTGAGCCAGTCATCAGTAAATAGCTTCAAATATGCAAGCATAGATCTGTGGACTTGGCTTTGTGATAGAAGCAGTAAATGCACACAGGCTTCTTCCTTTACATCAACAAGAGCAGAGTCCCTTTACAAAGAACTACATTAAACTCCCCCCCACAACACAAGCCAATGTTCCTTTTAGCAAACACACCGCTGACTTTCTTGTACAAGAGGGGCAGCAGCAGCCCGAAAAGTCGCTAAGATTTCTCCCAGCAGCCTGTACTCACAGAATGGCCAGGGACAGTTGATTGCCTCCTTCCAATTTCCAAGCAACACCTTTCTCCATTGATACCAGACTAGATCTTCAGCAGACAGCCCCCTCCGCAGCTTCAGCATCCAGGCCTTCAGATCGCCCACCTGAGGTCTCTCGAACAGCAAGCACATGGCAGTGTTGCCTTGCAGGGCAGCCGCCCTCCAGGCTGAACTGATCCTCAGCAGGACCAATTAATATATACTTATTGGGATTATTTTACCAAAGACATGTATCGGAATACATTTCAGTGGCTAAATGGTTATCATTTCCACCTGGCAGTACTAGGGTCTTTGTTTCTAATCCCAACCACAGCACCACCTGCCTGGAGTTTGCATGTTCTGCCTGTGTGGGTTTCCTCCGGGTACTCCAGTTTCCTCCCACGCTCCAAAGCAGGGGTGGACTGACAACTCATGGGGCCCCCGGGCAATAGGGGATCATGGGGCTGCTGTGTCCTTGCCCAAACTCAAAAAAGCCTATAAAAAAGGTACCAGGGGCATCTCATGGGGCCCCCTACTGACCTCGGGCCCTCGGACA